CAGAGCTCTCTCTCTCTCTCTCACCTGATTCACTGGGTGTTGTACGAGTATGACCTGTTTGATCGGACTGGGAGGAAGGAAGGAACAAAAGGCTGGCAAGGTGTCGGCGGAAGCTGAAAGTTGACGAAGTTTGCAGGGCTACCGAATGGAAAAAACAAGTTTGGAAGTACTTAGCATACTCAACAACTGGAAGGATGATCAAGGTGAGCAATTAAAAGTAGATTATCGGTCAGTCAGACTGTTGAAGCCCCCTTAGGTAGCACCAGGTGCACCGCCGCTGAGCTACAGCGGTCATTCTATACAAATTAATCATCCAAACTAAATTACGCTTGTCCTAAGCATCTTGGTCAACTGACTATCAAGTAAGTTGTACAGTTGAAAAGCGTAAATAAGAAAGGTCATCGGTTAGGCAAACAGCGTTCATACGTGGAACAACGATTAGAAACGACCTATCAGAAACCACTTCGCGGCTGGTTCCATCTTCAGGCTGTCTCACTGGATGCTTGAAATGCACCAACACATTTCGAGAAAGCAAACGCTGATGGGCGAGATCACACTTTGAGATATCTGAAAAGTACGTCTGAGGGTACCCACATAGTTCGACCACTATGAACGCTGATGTACATCCCGCATCCCAAAATATGGTAGGCGCTGGGAATGTATTGCGCGAGAGGTAGTCCACTGATGATAGTAGACTTGTACAGCAACTAACGCACCCTCTCCTTTCGTACCCACCTCGGCCCAACCAGGAAGACCAGAATTAGTGACTGACAAAACTTAACAGTTCGACTACAGGTACCACACACGCGCCTGACTCACTTACGATGGGTGAGGATGTTACCATAAAAAGGTGTGCCAGGGATATCACCTGCTAGAAGCGTCATAGAGACTACAGTCGATAATATGACTAAAAAAGAACTCTTTTACAAAATGAGCAAAGCATGCACAAGTGCTTACTGCCAGGCTTCTTAGCCAGCGAAACTAGAAGAGAACGTAGCGTCGCATGCGTGCGTCACTACATAAGTTATTGCAGGGTAACTGTGACTTATTTGTGGTGAGGGAATTTGTTGAAGTCGGCTAGGAAGGATGGGGCGAAAAAAAACGCTTCTGCGCCGAAGAAACAACCTAAGCAATCGCCTAACTCCGTACTTAAAGTTCCCTATTGTTAGTAAAGCTGCCAACATATCAAGGACCGTTTTAAGGTGAACCCGTCATGAAACAACTTAAAGTGAAATGAAATGGTTTCGTTGTCAACTCCCAGTGCGATGAGAAATCCCGCTGCAGTTTGCGTATGTCAATTTTTGAGTTCAATGCATTTTCGTGAGAAAGTTCACTTTGTGGAGAGCAAGACCAAAAACGCACTTCCAAAAGGGGCTCGACGCCAGTCCGAAGTCCGCAAAAATCTCAGGACTTTTAGTGCACCTGAAAGCACAGGACGATAAACAAATTGCTCCTGTGCTGGACAATCCTTCTTCCTTATCCATGCAAATACCTGGAATGTGAATATTTTCATTCACTTGAAAATTATTGGAGAAAATGTTTTGTATGGAATTGACACCATGATGCGGATGTATAGTGTTACCTTAACTACTCGCTACTAGTAAGTGGCTAGTAGTGTTAATTGATTATACAACTGCCTGTCGCATGACGCCGTCGGGATACGAGATAAACTACTATGTTATAATCTTAGTGAAGTTATCATTGCCCATACCCTGTCCTTTTAACGACAAGAGGCTATGTTGATTATCTTGCATGCTCATCAGATTTGCGGCGCAAAGAACGTTACCGGAGAAAATCAAGGACAAGTCCGTAATATTTTCAATGCCAACCTTGATTCGGTTCAAATAAGACAACAACGGATGACCTCCTAGCGCTCCGAGTAGTCTCTTTAAAATGAAATTTACATCACAGTAAGCCATCTGACGACAGAAAGCGAAACGGCCTGCTTCAGTGCTGCAAGTGCGAACCTACATGTAGTTTCTCAAATATTTTGTATTCCAAAATAGCATTGCACTTGAACCTTTTCAGACAGATAGGTATAATGTTTCACGCGCGTACGTCCAGTATAGGACCGCGAGTGTGCTCCTAAAACATTACCTGAGAGGAAGAGTAAATAAAGTTATTCAGAGAGAGGATTGCTCAATCTGTCAGGTGAATACAGTGCCGATTTTTAAAAGAAAAAGGTGTGCATCAAAAGGTATCGTTTGGGTTTGCAGCAGAAACAGGTTCGTTGGTGTGGGTTTTCAGGTGCATTGATGGGTATTAGTATTATGGAGGGAGAGGCCATTCTAGTTAAAACTACGATATCTTGAGGTCAAACACTTTTCACAGAACTGTTTGGAAAAAACGTGAGTATGCTCCACTTCCCGAATACACAGACAAGGAAGGCGGGCAATACCTTATCGACACCCAGGCGAAGAGCAACTTGTGTGATCGGCAACGGGTTCTTGCTCGTCACGACTGCAATAAGGAC